TTGCAAGGCTTCCATCTATACGTGCGTAACTGGCCTAATACCGCAGAGTCACAACCACCACTACACACAGACGCCCACCCAACACAACACACATACAGTACATACCCTGCAGTGTTGCAGATAGATCCTAGGGCTAAGCCCTACATGTATTTCGGGATCGATATTAAAATAAACTTCATTTTTCGAAAGACTGCTTAGTACCAAAACCTATTAACTATAATTTTTTTAGTATTGTTATTAAAGAACTGAAGCTTACTTGAAAGAAAAAGTATTTTTTATGCACCAATTCTGTTCCAAATCTTCGCGGCGAAAACTTAGGCCCCATCCATTCCCATGTGATTTCTGATTTCGTTAATTTGTTGAAATTTATTTACTCAACTGACAGCCATCTCATTGAATGAGGTCGGCACTGGATGCAAAAGATCGTAACGTGGAGGATAAACAAGGCGGTTCTACCACGGATCTAGGCCTGCCTTGCCCTGGAGTTGTTATTTTGATAAACAACTTAAATAACAACTCCCTGGCCTTGTTTATGACATTTTATGGCTGAGCGAGCGCCATAGTATATTGGCTTAAGATAAGAAATTTTGTTTCATTGCTCTATGACATCGTGGAAATCACATTTTTCGTGAAATTTTCGGGATATTTAAAAAAATCAGGAGATATAAAAAAAAATCGGGAGGGCGGGAGACGGCCTCAAAAATTGGGAGAACCCGCGATTTTCGGGAGACTTGGGATCTCTGCCATGGTTTAAGTATTTTCATAACATTTTAGTTTTCTACAAGAAACAATCAGTGGTGAATAGAACATCAAACTGGAACACAGGACAACAATCAAGCTGTTGTTTATTTGAAGTGGAGAAATACCGTGTATGACCATAAAGACAGAAACATCAACATTACTGTATGTTCCATTATGAAATGCTAGTTTTTTAATATTATTTTGTACACATCCAAATATAGCATCTGTACCAAAATATTCTGAATAGAAAATTCTGCACCATCCCACAGTTACTAAATGACCACAATTAAACCACAGCAGCAATAGAACTACTATACAGTTTCACAGTGCCTGAATACCTACCTTTAGTTCAAATGTGAACAAAATAATAGTAAATTAATGGAAATAAGTGGCAAAGTAAGTTTATTAGACAGTAATGACCAATTCAATTGTGTAGTCATAGTTATCATTAGGCTCCGTCCCTAGTCTGGCACCTGGCGTAAAGTTCAATGGATGTAATATTTCTATTCAGCACCCCGCTTTTTTAAATCCTGGATACGCCACTGCCCAGATCAACTACTTTACTGTACTGTATAATAACATATTTGCACAAATAACAATAATATAATAAGATGAATTATCTTACCACTTGCTTGTCCTGAGTTTGATGGTGGCTTTGGAATGTCTGAAATATAATTCAATAATGAATGAACAGTACATTAAAATAAGTTTATATTATTTAGTGTAATTAACAATTACATTTTTACAGTGATAGGAAAGCAATTTGACATGTTTAGACATGGAAGACCTTTATACAATACTGTAAATGCCCAACTTATATCTGATTATTTTAACACAACTATAATTCATAAAATACAAAATGTTTAATATTAACTATATTCTAATTCTTGCAAACAGAAATAATTTGATTTGATTTTCTTTTATACCATACATGAAACATACAATTTGAAAATGACGTAAATGTAAAAATGATTAAAATCATGTGGTATCTGGAA